ACATCAAAAAGCTTATCCACCGTGATCAAGATGACTTCATCCCCAAGATGATTCATCACATAAACAGAACTAAAGACAAAAACCACATGATTATCTCAACAGACACAGAAAAGGCCTTTGATAAAATTCAACTTCCCTTCATGTTAAAAACTTTGAATAAACTAGATATTAATGGAACATACCTCAAAATGGAAAAAGCTCAAAGCATTTCCCTTGAAAATTAGCACAAGACAAGGATGTCTTCTCTCACCACTCCTGTTCAACATAGTATTGGAAGTTCTGGCCAGGACAATCAAGCAAGATAAATAAATAAAATATTCAGATAGAAAGAGAGGGAAATCAAGCTGTCTCTGTTTGCAGATGACATACTCCTATATTTGAAAACCCCATCATGTCAGCCCAAAAGCTTCTGAAGCTTATAAGCACCTTCAGCAAAGTACAAAATCAGTGTGCAAAAATCACAAGCATGCCTATACACCAGCAGTAGACAAGCAGAGAACCAAATCATGAGTGAATTCCCATTCACAATTGCTACAAAGAGAATAAAGTACCTAGGAATAAGCTAACAAGAGAAGTGAAGGACCTCTTCAAGAAGAACTACAAATCACTGCTCAAGGAAATCAGAGAGGACAAAAACAAATAGAAAAACATTCCATGCTCATGGATGGGAAAAATCAATATCATGAAAATGGCTATACTGCCCAAAGTAATTTATAAATTCAATGCCATTCCCATAAACTACCCTTGACATTTTTCACAGAATTAGAAAAAACTACTTTAAAATTCATATGGAACCAAAAAAGAGCCTATATAGTGAAGACGGTCCTAAGCAAAAAGAACAGAGCTGAAGGCATCACGCTACCCAACTTCAAACTCAACTACAAGGCTAACCAAACATCTTGGTAGTAGTACAAAAACAGACACATAGACCAATGGAACAGAATATAGAACTCAAAAATAAGACTGCACATGTACAGCCATGTGATCTTCAACAAACCTGACAAAAGAAAGCAATGGTGAAAGGATTCACTGTTTAATAAATGGTCTGGGTAGAACTGGCTAGCCATATGCAGAAAATTGAAACTGGACACCTTCCTTACACGTTATATAAAAGTTAACCCAATATGGATTAAAGAGTTAAATGTAAAACCCAAAACTAGACAAACCCTAGAAGAAAATCTAAGCAATACCATTCAGGACATTGACATGGACAAAGATTTCATGACAAAACGTTAAAAGCAATTTAACAAAAGCAAAAATTGACAAATGGGACCTAATTAAACTAAAGAGCTTCTGCATAGCAAAAGAAACTGTCATCAGAGTGAACAGACAAACTCAGAATGGGAGAAAATTTTTGCAATCTATCCATCAGACAAAGGTGTAATACCTAGAATCTACAAGGAACTTCAACAAATTTACAAGAAAAAACCCAATTTGAAAGTGGGCAAAGGATGTGAACAGACACTTCTCAAAAGAAGACATACATGCAGCCAACAAACATGAAAAAAAGCTCAACATCCCTGATCATTAGAGAAATGCAAATCAAAACCACAATGAGATACCATCTCATGCCAGTCAGAATGGTAATTATTAAAAGGTCAAGAAACAACAGATGCTGGCAAGGCTGTGGAGAAATAGGAACACTTTTACACTATTGGTAGTTCAACCATTGTGGAAGACAGTGTGGTGATCCCTCAAAGACCTAGAACCAGAATTACCATTTGATCCAGCAATCTCAATACTGGGTATAAACCCAAAGGAATATAAATCATTATATTATAAAGATACATGCATACGTATGCTCACTGCAATACTATTTACAATAGCAAAGATGTGGAATCAACCCAAATATCTATCAATGACAGACTGGATACACCATGAAATACTATGCAACCATAAAAGGGAATGAGATAATGTCTTTTGCAGTGACATGGAGGGAGCTGGAAGCCATTATCCTCAGTAAACTAACACAGGAATAGAAAACCAAACACTGTAGGTTCTCACTTATGTGGGAGCTGAACAATGAGAACACATGGACACATGGCGGGGTGGGCAACAGCACACACTGGGCCCTGTTGGGGTTTCAGGGAAGGAGAGCATCAGAAAGAATAGCTGGGCTTAATACCTAGGTAATGGGTTGATCTGTGCAGCAAACCACCATGACACAAGTTTACCTGTATAACAAACCTGCACATCCTGCACATGTATCCTGGAACATAGAATAGGACAGGACAGGACAACCAATCTACAACTTACAGAACCATCAAATGGTTTACTACCCTTTGTTTCTTTCTTCTTTCCTTCCATCCTTTCTTTTTCTCTTTCTCTTTCTCTCCTTTCTGCTTGGCTGTAATATTCTTCATGGCAGGGTATATTTTACTCTCAGTATCCCAAGTCCCTAAGTGTTCCTGGTTCATAAAGTGCACTCAGTAAATATTTGTCGAATGGATATGTGTATCACTGATCGTTAGACTTGCTGTTTAATAAGAAAATGCCTATTACAAAGCACCATATTCAACAGATAAAATCTGTATAACTAAAAAGTAAAATTTTCTTCTCAGAAACTAAACATTTTTAAAAGACAGCTTTTGTAAGATTATATCCAATTCACACCTTAAAGTGCAGCCCATTGCAAAAAAAAAAAAAAATCTGATCTGAGACCCATAAAGCTGAATAAAAAGCAGAAGCAGCAATCTCTTTCATTCTGCCTAGTTACACTGGTTGTAACAATGATTTATATATATATATATATTTGAATGACTAGGTCAAGACCTCAATGAAAATGAGTTGTAAATAAATTTATATTTCAATTTTAAGTGAATGGTAAATCACATATAATCCTTTTTTAAGTGTTCACCCACAATTTGAATAGAAAATTCTGTGTAGCACTAAAAATCTCCAAGGTTTGTTAAACTTTAAAAATTTTGTTATTTTGATTGACCATGAGAAGAAATGGCATATTAATAGTATAAGGAGCTTTATCTTAGGTGCCTATGACACTCATTAGTCTTAGAATGAAAACCTTTTGGGGTTGTGCCTTTAAGTCAATTCATTGAACACGTCTGGAACAGCCACTGGGATTGGAATAAAGTGCTAAATTTAATAAGTTGCAATGACCAGAAACACAATCTTCTGAAGGATACATATAATCATTATAAAGTGGTTTAAATAAATGCGAGCTTCTGTATTACACAATATTGAAGTCTGGAGGCAGGCATTCTGGGGTTTTTACAGCAGCTCTACATTGTCATCAGGAACTTGGACTCTTTTTTTCTTCTTATCTTTCTATACTCACTGCATGGGCTTGCATCTTCATAGTTCAAAAATGGCTACAGCACCTCCCAGTCCCCAGTGTCAGCCCAGCTCCCTGCTGTAGCCATGTTCTAGGTAGAAAAAAGGTAGATGGGTAAAAGCTTTTTTCTCTTAAGGCTTTATCTCTTTATCTTTTTATGTGTAAGAGGAAGCCTGCCCTAGGGACTTCTTCCTACCCCTGATTGGCCAGAATTATATCATACGACCACTCCTACCCACCTAAAGAGGGGATTGTGGATAACAATTAGGACAGCCAAGCAGCAGTATTTATAGTTACTACTTTCTGTTAACTCTTTGAGATATAGACTTTTATGGCACCAAGGAAAAGGCCAAGTTATTTACATACAAAGAGATAATACTCCAAGAAGTTCCTTCTTATCATTAAATTATGCATTTATTTTTTTATGTCCAGCTCCCACTCGGATAAGTTATGCATTTATTCAACAAATATTTATTTTTTGTTGGCTAATATGTATCAGATACTGTTCTAGGTATTGTCGACAAAATCAGTAAACAAGAGAAAGTTGCTGCTCTCATAGAGCTTTATATTCTATTGAGAAGAGGAAGGCAATAAACAAATATAAATATATACATTTATATTTACATATTATATATGGTTATGAATATCCATATTATGGATGTACATGGGTATGTATATAGCTGTGAAGAAAGGAAAAGTAGGGTAAGGGAAATAAAGAGTGATGGTAGATATTATTCCATATAGAGTGTTCAACAGTGTTCTCTCTGATGAAGTGATATTTGAACAGAGACCTGAAATAAGTGATGGATAGATGGAGAAATGAGGGACTATCTGGGGAAGAATGGTTCAAGCAGAGGAAACACAAAGTACAAAGACCCTGAGGAGAGATGAATTTGGCATGATCAAGTAAAAGAAGGGGACCAGTATGACTAGAGCACAGTAAACAAAGAGGGAATGTTAGGAGGACAATGGGAGGTATAATATGTTGGGCCTTATAGGCTATAGCAGAGATTTTATTGTTAGGGATATGGAAAGTCATTAGAGAGCTATGAGCAGACATTAGCACAATTCAATGATTCAAAGAATCATTTTAACTTCTGTGTGTAGAATAAATTGAAGTATAACAAGGATAGAAGCAAAGAGACCAGTTAGGATGCTATTCAATTTTTCAGAAAATTAATGGTGGTTCCAACTATTGTAATATTACTGGAAGTGATGAGTAATGAGCAGTTGCAAGATATATTTCAAAGATAGTTTAAATATACATAAGAATCAAGGATCCTTCAAGGTTCTAGCTTAATAACTGGAAGAATGGAGTTGCTATTTACTGAAATAGAAACTGCAAGAGAATAAGACATTGTATGGGTGGAATTGGAGGATGGGGAATTAAGAGTTTGTTTCTGGACATTTTAGGTTTGAGTTGCTGGTTACACATCCAAATGCATGTTGGATGATATAAAAATGTAGAATTAAGGGTAGAGGTTGAGATTGGAGATATAAAATTGGTAGTTTTAATGTATGCATTATTTGATTGATAACTTAATATTACCAGAGCGGGGTATATTTTGGAGGCAGGAGAAACAGTTTCTTACCTGATAATCTTCATTTGGGGACATTTAGTATTTGGAATTATAATATTTATAAGTCATTGCCACTTTTTAATCAGTGTTACAGCATCATATTCTCCGTTAATTATCTTACTGTTTAGGTCACAGTGCTGTCGATATCACCAAGGTGGCTAGAAGACATCGCATGTCTCCTTTTCCTCTGACATCTATGGACAAAGCCTTTATCACAGTCCTGGAGATGACTCCGGTGCTTGGAACAGAAATCATCAATTACCGAGGTACTATTATGGTTGACCATTGCCCTTTCTTTTCTTCATTTTTTTTTCAAATAAGATTAATGTAACATTAATGCACAGTTTCCCTGAAAAAGAAAGATTATTAACCATTATCACAATTATCATCATTCTTTTTCTTCTTATTTCTACTCAATAAGTAAATGGCTAAAGACCAGCCTTAACAGTATACTTAGTGAAATCCATTAAACCGCCTTTTCATTTAAAAATGGAAGAAAATCAGCTGTGTTTCTGCTGTCTATCAAAATATCAATACTGCAAACTAAAGAAGGGGTTCTCACACTGAGTGGGGAAAATAGTTAACTCTGAGTCTATCTGATGTATTTTCTGTCAGAAACGGGAGACAACTAATGTGTCTTGTAATCATCTTTTCTGATTGGAAAACATGTATTTAAATGTAAAAATGTAAAAAAAAGAAATTAATTTATCCATGCATTACTAACACAATAGAAAGGTAGCATTTCCCAGTAGTTCATTTTTTAATAACTTCCATTTCTAAAAATTCAGCATCGGAGTTGTATTTAGGCATCCAGTCCCAGACCAGGCTATTGAGGAGAACTTCCAGCCAATAAAGCTTGTGGTTTCCTCCCAACATCAAGAAAAGAAGTTACACTTAGTGCAATCTGAATAAAATACAGTTTCTTAATTTGTTATGTAGAAAGAAACAACACAAGAGAATTAATTTTATAAATAAAAAACTTTATAGAACCATAAAACATTCAAACTACAATGAACAATAGAGAGCAAAAACACCCTAATTTTTCTTCAAGGAAACTCAGAATAGCAGAAAAAGAATAGGATTAAGGTCTCAAAATTTACATTATTCCTCTTACTACATAATTGTGCTCCTCTTCCAGCATTAAATTATAAAAAATAATGGCAGCTAACATAATGGTGCCAGATTTTAGCTCTTTTGTCTGTGTTCCCACATAGACAAGAATTGTTTTTATACAGTTTGCCCTTATTCTACGTCTTAGGCTCACATTATTTTAGGTATGAATATCGTTAGGCTGAAACCATTTGTTTTTGTTTTACTCCTCATTAAAGGAAAGATTAGAAAACTCACTAGAGTAGGGGACTAGTCAGGAATTAACTATGTGATTTCAGAAAAATTTTAATGGAATCATTGTTTATTATTAAATGTACAATATTGAGATATTTATTGATATCAGCAGAAACCAAGACATTTTCAGAAAATATGAATGTAAGCCTAAATTATAAAAATTAATACTTTTACCTATTATAAAAATAAATTAGTCATCCCTGATTTTTCATAATTTCAGAGGAGTTCCCTTAACATCAGTCCTTAGAAAAATCTCACCATGTATTCCAAGTCACATTTAAAGAGACATTCTAGTTTAAAAAAAAAAAAAAAAAAAAAATTTGGAAATTGCCATTTCATTTTCCCTCTAGGAAAAAATGCCATCAGATGTATTCTCTTTTCCCTTCATGTGCTTGTTTCCCCTTCATTTATTCATCAAATTAGTTGTCACTTGTAAATGAGCAGATTCTTCATAGATGGTAACTTTTTGTCAAGTGTTTACACCTATGATGATGAAAAGTAATAGTTAGGTTTGCATTGAACCTTTGAGTTGGATCAAACTCAATTTTTTATGTGAAAGAGTATTATAAATTAGACCCCCTATACACTTTGATTTGTGGTTTAGAAAACATCATGTATAGAAACATAATTTACTTTGTTCAATAAATATTTATTAAACATCAACTAAATGTTAGATGCTATGTTAAGTCCTGTATATGCAAAGATGAATAAAAATCAAACTCCTGCCCCATGGATTTCATAGCCCAGTGCAGAAGAGATAGGTAAATTAATGTGGTACTTGTCTCCTTTAATTGGCTCCTTTACAGGCTTGCCTTCCTTTGTCAATTCCTTGAAAAGCTTTCTTTCAGTTTTTTTCTTTGGCTCTTTTCATATTTTGTCCATTGACTTCAGATGGCCTCATGCAGGCTAGTAGTTTCAGATACCATCTATAAGGTGAATTTTAAATCTGTACCATTGCCAGCACTTGTCCAAGCTCCAAACTCATATCATGTTCTTTTTTTTTTTTGAGACAGAGTATCGCTCTGTCACCAAGCTGGAGCGCAGTGGCGTGATCTCGGCTCACTGCAACCTCCTCCTCCTAGGTTCAAGCGATTCTCTTGCCTCGGCCTCCTGAGTAGCTGGGACTACAGGGGTGTGCCACCATGCCGACTATTTTTTGTATTTTTAGTAGAGATGGGGTTTCACCATGTTGCCCAGATGGTATCTATCTCTTGACTTTGTGATCCGCCCACCTCAGCCTCCCAAAGTGATGGGATTATATGTGTGAGCCACGTACCTGGCCCCAAACTCATATTCTAAATGTATTATGTATCTGCTGCTAGTAAATGTAACATAACAAATACTAAACTTACTTTCTCTACCTCTACAATACTTGTTTTTCTACATCCTCTTAAGTCTGTCCCTTGTTCTGCATTACTTCTGTTATTGTTTTAGTTTAGATCTTTATTATTAACTTCCTGAACTATTGTAACAGGCTCTCCTCCCCCTGGTTCAAATCTTCCCCATCCGTTCTCCAATTTGATGTCAAAGTAATCTGTTCAAATTTTCTAATTTGTTATTGACACTTCCTATATACAACTCTTCAGCAATTTTCCCACAACCTCAAGATAAAATTCAAACTCCTTGACATGTCATAAAAGGCCCTTTATAATCTGATTTCTTCTAATTTTTTCGTTTCTTATCCTACCTCCTTATCATCAGAACTTGCTTCTCCCTAAACCTAACATGACAATTCTTACTTCTTATTCTCTCTTACTCTAAGCCTTTTATATATATCTTTTTTTTTTTAAGAGATTGGGTCTCACTATGTTGCCCAGGCTGGGCTTGAAGTCTTGGTCTTAAGCAATCCTCTTGCCTTAGTCTCCCAAAGTACTAGTATTACAGGTATAATCCACCATATCTGGCCCCTTTGCTTATATAGTGTTTGCTTGGAAAAACTTTGTCTTACTTCTCTTCATATTAACTACTTCTAATTACCACATATTCCTTAATATCAAGCTTAAGATGCTTCTCCTTTATAAAGTATTTTCTGATGTCTGCTTCTCCCTTTTCCCTTGCTGGGTTAAACATCCTTTCTTTGTGTTCCCATAGCACCTTGTTCATATGTTTTATAAGACAACTGACTGACATATTTGTTCACTGTTAATTTTAAATACCCTAATAAATAACATGTACATAAAAAAATGCAGAGCACTGTAAGTGTGAATCACTGTAAATTGAATTGTCATAAGTCAAATAAGGCCTAGAAAAAAGAATAGAAGTTCATTCTCACTATGCTTTAGAATATTTTCTTTGCCAAGTACATTTGCATTTTACTGAGCAAACCCTTATAGTTGGTTTTGATTTCAGCTAGATGCACCTCTAAACTATTTAATTTCATTCATTAATCACTGAGTAGGAAAAAGTATTTGGGGGGAACCAAAAGGCCTTTACATTCTATGAAATTACAAATATTTTGCCTCTGCAAACACTCTAACACCTACAGTTGCAGAAGCCCTTAGAGGAAAACCAATGTTTAGTAACGGTCTAGGACCAACTGAATCTAAGAATGTATATGAAGCTGTGACATCTCTAAAATGACTTTTTGTATGTCTAAGAAGGTTCAAAAATAATCCCAGAAAACTAAGGACTTAACATATAGATAAAATGCTGAAAGTGATTGTTGTGAAGGTCAATAGACCATAGGGAAATCTATGAAGGAATTTCAGAGTATATAGTACATGAAATACTTTGTATATAACAGTAAGAGAGTAACTTGAGATCAAATAGTCTCTCTTATTTAAAGACAAGGGCACTTAGAACCAAAGAGGTATAATAAGAGAATAGTTATGGTTACAACAATTAGAACCCAGGATTCTTAACTCCCAGTCTAGTATTCATTTCACTATAGCATACTGCATCTCAAATCAATGTAAAAATTATTCTTATAAAGCAAGTGCCTAAAAGTGTTTGCATATATAAGATGTTTTCTATTTGTTTATCTATTTTGACTACAGATGAATTTTCTATTGTCTCTGATCTGTCTTTTAACATATCACTATTTTCAGCTCCTATCTGCCAGCAAGGTTTTTAAGGAACAAATATTCCACTGATAGGCATTCTTGGTATAACCATGGATGATAACATTTGTAAGACTACGATTTGTAATTCATTTTCTTTATTTGTAAAATGCATGATATGAATAAATTACAACTTCACACTTGGTACAGTACCAACTGCTATAAGGCAGATTAAAATATTCTGGCACCATTCCCTGAAATTCCCAATCTTTTTCGGTATACAATGGAAAAACTAGAGGTTTTTTTTTTTAATACAAAGGATTTTGCTCTCTTGGGAATTTTATTTTAGAATATAAGCTCTAAGCTTTTTTAAGATTATATGATTAAAGACTTCAGTGTCTCTGACCTAGGTTTTTTGTTTTTCCACTTTAGCAATTCTAGTCAAGAAACCTTTAAGCTTTGCTGCTGGAATTAAGTTTGGAACAGTGAAGTATCTCTTTTGGAATACTGCCCACAGCACAAAGGCACATGTTCCCATCTATGACTTCTAGCTAGTTAGCTGCCTGAACATAGGCAGTTATCTTAAGCTGAGATTCGCTGCCCTTTAGAAGCTCTTGATTCCAAGAGCTTACCAAGTAGGAAGTCCTTACCAACGTCATACTGGGAGTTCATTAACTCTTCCTGATGGTTCAGGGGCTGAGAGAGAATAAGGAAAAAGGAAATACGGTATACTAGAAGGAACTTTGCCATCAAACACTCTTTGGCTCTTTTACTTGCTCTACCTTGTACTAGCCAAGTGACCCTGAACAAGCTACTTAACCTTTCTGGGTCTTATCTCCCTCCTATGCAAAATGTAAATAATGTCTACCCAATATAGGGTTATTGTAGGATACTATTAAAGGATATAATATACATATAAGAAA